GTGGGATGACGGGCGTGGTAATGACGCGGTCGGTCTGCGTTGGCTGAAACATTGTTCCCGGATAAACCCTCGTTTGTGGTAGGAGCATGCAAGGAACTACTATGCCCCTTGTGGCCCCCCATAAACTCTTCAACGAGTATGTGCAAATAGTCGTCTTTGACGTTTTCCCATTCGGTCGCTTCACATTCGTTGAGCACTTCTAAATGTAGCTCGATAATCGTGCGCTTATGCACGCGCGGTGGGCGTTGTCCGCGGCGTTCGGCAGCGGACGCAGGTTGCGTATCCCTAATCATCGTGTACCCGTAAGCGGGTGGCGGTAGTTCGCCGCGTTGTAAATGCTGCAATATTTCTTCGTCGAGTGGCGGTGACGGCACGTCACGAACGGTGCGATACGTTCGTCGTCGTTGTTTTCCGAGGTGCGCAAAGTACTAAGCAGAAAAAGGGGGGTAAAGAGCAGGGTGAGGACGGTAGGATAAAAGGAATGAACGCGGGTGTAGGAGAATATATGGGTTCGAACGATCATATATTGGTGCCGGTTGGGATGTGCTGAGGTATAAACATCCTGCACGTGCGGGATTCCCGGATTGGCGTATATACTTACCTTCCAGAGGAAAAAGGCAATGACCCCAATACCAACCACCGCTGGAATGATCGCGGGGGTGTAGCGGATGAGATCCTTGGGGTCGAATGGTTTCGAGGTAGGGAGGGTAGGAAGAGGTTGGTCTTTGGTTTATGGACTGAGGCCACTGGAAGGAGGGGAACCATCTCCCTGTGGACCCGCACTGGAGCCAGTACCTGAGGTACCTGGTTGCGAAGTCCCCGTGGAACCTGGTCCTGAAGAACCTGGGGTGTGGTCACCAGTAGAACCTGGACTGGATGGTTCTGAAGCAGAGGATGAGGAACTGCCACTTCCTCCCCCACCTCCACCACCTCCTGAGGGCGCTTCGCCGCTGGTGGGGCCGCCGCTACCGCTTGCACCCGATTGATCTGGGTTCGGATTCGGTTTTGGTTTGGGCGGATTGAGAGGAGGGGGGTCATCGTTGCCGCCATCGACGA